GCCACACGGCCGTGTGGCCCTGCCCGTGTGAGTCGGGAATTTCTGGTTTTTACCCAATTTCGGGCTGCAAGTGGGAGAATCGAGTTTTGAGAGCAAAAACAGAGCCCTAGAGAGAGAAAGTACGAAGAACACATCCTAGAAGCTATCTTGGAGCTGGGTTTCATCAAATCAAGCTTGGAGATCGTCATAGGAGTGGAGATCATCATCCCAGAGCAGATTTTCCTCATCTTTATGAGTATGACTACTCTGTATTCTGTTTTCCTCTATCTCTCTATGGAGTAGAACCCTTCTCTCACTTGGGTATGAAGAACCCTAGTTCTATGTGTTAGGGATTTGATTGTAATGACTTGGGATGATATTACTGCTTGGTTTTAATCGAATGATGCATGTTTATTGAGTCAATTGAAGTCTGATAAGCTTTTCCTAATTTCTGCTGCAACCTGAGATAGATAGAATCTGATTAGGTTGTTAGAGCCTCATCATTCGGTAGTAGGAGATTGGCTATACGAGAGTTAGCCAGTTTACTGCTTTGTAATGGAATTCAATTCCAGTAGTGGAGTTCTGTTCTTACTGCTTCAGCTTTCTATCCCGGTGAAGACTAGTCGTCTGCCGGGTAGTTAGTCTGAGAGGGCTTGGTCAGCTTAAGAGATTCCAAGCTACTGTCGGATCTTCCGCAGTCTAATCAACAGTAAATCAACCCAGGGAAATTACAATTGAAACCTAACTAAGGAGCTAGGGGGACTCATTCCCGAGTGACTCTTCTTTGCTTCAGAAAACCTTACCAATTCCTGCTTTCTTTCTGCTTTTGCTTTAAACAACAATCACTTAACTTAGTTGGCTAGATAATAGATACTCACGGAGTAAGTAGTAGATCTAGACCCCAGGTTGATAATAGAACTTGCCATTTTACTGCATTCCTGGACTGCGATTATACTTGGTTGCAGTTTGGTGTTGTGTTCTGGAGTGTCAATAGGGCTATTGGGGTTTCTAAGTGGCTCAGTTATAAGATGAAAATGTGCTTATTATTAGTGGTTATCTACGCGTATTAGATTGAATTCGGGTTCTGGTTGAGTTCTTCCTTTGGAATCTGCTTTCATTTTTGATAGGTCAAAATCTAATAAAAATATAGTCTCTCAGAGTTTAGCAGGTGCTATCTTCGGGACGAGGACTGACTCGTAAATTGAAAACCTCGTTAAATATCACGATGTTCTCTTCTGGTTTTTTCCCAATTCGATTCTTCGTTGTTTTTCCTGCATGTAGTGTAACTCTGATAAGATTATGATATTTGCAATATGAAGGAAGAAGACGATTGAGTCTCTTCAGTAGAGATTGAATATCTCAGCACGCTGACCACACAATCCCAAACCTTCTTTTTACTTTCTTCGTCCTATCGTTTTGGTCGTATATTGTCTTGGGCCAAAGTTCAGTTTAAGCCCATCTTTTGTCAAGAAGAAAGAAGATAAAAACCATTTCAACTTCTTGTTTTCTCCTCCTCTCCTTTTGTGCTTTCTGGTTTCTCTTAAACAAAATCCCCGATTCAAAATCTTGAATCCCCAATTGAACTTCTGATACGAATACGAGCTCATAAAAGTTTAGGTTCTTTTGTCAAAGTCCCGCAGCTTCGAACTTTTTAGGGTTTTTTCTGTCAACAACTCGAAAAGTAAAGAATAGGGCGGAATTGTCGTGCAACTTCAACCTAAATCGGGAAGAGGCTCGAACAATATAAAGGTAGCAACTCGACCATAATCAAGGGGAATACCTGATTGATACAAAACTCACTCGAATGCTGGAGATCCACCAACAAACAAGGACAAAATCCACGAGTAAAAAACTCAATGAACCGAAAATGATTTTTCCATTATCAAAGTTCGAATAATCTGAATAGTTTGCTAAAATTCGTGACTTACAATCCTTTAAATAGGTATGGCAAATAAACCTAATGAAAGCACCAAAAAGGAAAAGAATTTTAAATTAAAAAGGTAACAAAACCCGAACAGATCCAAAACCCGGTCTAAATACCCGGTCGGGTATTTTACATCACTGGCCAGGGGAAATCCCTGGACGTTATCCCCAGTCTCTACCTCAATTACCCAGACGGGGAATTGCAAGTGCAGACCAGGTATTCTTCTCCCGCGGCTCACATCAGTCCCTCCATGTTGAAGAAGCTTTGCCCTCAAAACTTTCCATCCTGGTATCCAAACGAAATTTCCTGTATAATCAGTACCAAGAAATAACAAACATCCTCCACAATTCCACGGAATCAAAAGCTCAAACAACTGATCAAACATGGGCTCCAAATCATGAACTTGGAAGCTCAAGTCGTCGTAGTCCACTGAGTTCTCCATCCGGGTTTCGAAATGAAGCCAGCTTCTTCAATGGCGTTCAATCACGAATATTCTCGTCTAAAAGCTCCATTCCTCACTAGACTCAAGCCACAACAATCTGTCTTCTTGCATCCAAAGCAATCAGTCGTCAAAAGCAAGCTTTGAAAACTCAAAGCTTGAAGACTCCTGCACGAGAAATCATCATCATAATATCGTAAAAAGGATAAACGATCGGCTCGCTTTCCACCATGACCATCTCGTAGAAATCCCATCTTTCTTCTGCGGCTCTGGATAGCTGATCGATGCTTTCTCTGCTTCCAGATTCGCCTCCTCCTCCTCCTTAGAACTCAAACTCTGCTGCTCCTCCTCAATATCACGGATGGTCATTGCTTGAACTAAGGCAACCAACGTCTTTTGTATATCCTTCCAAAGACTGGTGTCGACTAGCCTCTTTTTGCCTTCGACAAAACCGTTAATGTCTGCCGCATACTTTGGATCAATCACGGACGGTCGTTGCTCCAAATCATGAACTTGGAAGCTTAAGTCGTCGTAGTCCACCCCTTGAGTCCTCCATCCGGGTTTCCAAACGAAACCGGCTTCTTCAAAGGCGTCCAATCTCGAATATTCTCGTCTAAAATCTCCATTCCTCACTAGACTCAAGCCACAACAATCTGTCTTCTTGCATCCAAAGCAATCAGTTCTCAAAAGCAAGCTATGAAAACTCAAAGCTTGAAGACTCCTGCACGAGAATTCATCATCATAATATCATAAAAAGGATAAATGACTGGCTTGCTTTCCACCATGACCATCTCGTAGAAATCCCATCTTCCTTCTGCGGCTCTGGATAGTTGATCGACGCTTTCTCTGCTTCCTGATTCTCCTCCTCCTCCTCCTCCTCCTCCTCCTCCTCATAACTCAAACTCTGTTGCTCCTCCTCATTATCACGGAGGGTCGTTGCTTGAACTAAGGCACCCAACGTCTTCTATATATCCTTCCAAAGACTGGTGTCGACTAGCCTTTTTTCGCCTTCGACAAACGCGTTCATGTCCGCCGCATACTTTGGATCAATCATGGCTTGAAGCATAGCTTGTGATATTCTTCTCCTTGCCACTGATTTTAACCAGAAATACACAAACCTAAATCCAAGATATCTATTTTGTGTGTGAACAGTATCGTGAACAGTAAAAACAAAATAAAAATACCTCACATTATCGCTGAGTTTGAACGGGGCTCTGATACCACCTGAAACGAACGCGAGCTCTTGGAAGTTTAGGTTCTTTTGTCAAACTCGCGCAACTTCGAACTTTTTAGGGGCTTTTCTCTGAATTTTCTCTCAACAATTCGAAAAGTAAAGGATAGAGCGAAATTGACGTGCAACTTCAACACAAATCGGGAAGAGACTTGAACAATATAAAGGTAGCAACTCGACCACAATCAAGGGGACTACCTAGGGATGATAATGGGGCGGGTTTGCCAAAACCATCCCCATCCCCATCTTCAAATATCCAAACCCAAACACATACCCGCCCCATACCCATGCGGGGGAATGTTTTGCAAACCCATCCCCATACCCGTGGGTTTCGGGTACCAATGGGTAATACCCATTCCCGTACATCCAACATTATTATACCTAAAACTTACAAGAAAAGTTTTAATTATATCTCTAAATGAACCTATTATATCATGAAATCAACAAAACACGGTCATTTTCTTAATACGGTTTAAAGAATATGATCCTAAAACATCCATTAATACATAGTATAGAGTACAGTATTTTCAAATTATTATGCTCTGACTTTGATACATCTACTAAATAATAATTAACTAACATAATCTTGTGTACAAGGGTGAAAGTGAAATAGTGAAAGAGTAATTGAGGGAAATGAATTATGTTTTGATTAGGGTGGTCACTCAATTGCATTTCAACGATTTATTTTCTCGAGTTATCCTCATCATCGTTGATAGATTACAATTTGATTCATATATTTTTTTTATATGTAAAGAAATTCTCTTGGTGGGGCGGGTATGGGGCGGGGGAGGCTAAAACCATACCCGCCCCATACCCATCAAACTTTTTGTGGGTTTTACCCATACCCGGTCAAAACGGGTATTCCCCGAGTTGACTGGGTCGGGGGCGGTCGGGTACCCGCGATCATAGGTTTGATTGCCATCCCTAGGACTACCTGATTGATATAGAGCACGCTCGAATGCTGGAGATCCACCAACAAACAATGACAAAATCCACGAGTAAAAAACTCAATGAACCGAAAAGGGTTTTTTTTATTATCAAAGTCTGAATAATCTGAATAGTTTGCTAAAATTCGTGGCTTACAACCCTTTAAATAGGTATGGAAAATAAATCTAATGAAAGCACCAAAAAGAAAATAATTCTAAATGAAAAAGGTAACAAAACTCGGACATACCCAAAACCCGATCGGGTATTTTACATCACTGGCCGGGGAAAATCCCTGGACGTGATCCCCAATCTCTACCTCAATTACCTGGTCGGAGAATTGCAAGTGTCGACTGGGTATTCTTCTCCCGCGACTCACATCAACTTCTTCACGAGCGCCGTTTTGTTGACATCAGTTGGGTCAGTGAAGTGGACGCTCACGACCGGTCCGGTTCGGGTTTACCACCCCTGCTAAGGGGCGTCAAACAGCCCGATCAACTGCCTTCACCAGTTCCTTTTGATTGATGACATGAATCTTCAAACTCTTTTTCTGTGTGTTTAGAAGTCATTGAAGACATGGGTCCACGCTTATCGACTCCAATCGTAAATGCCAAAGAAGAGAAAGCAAGGTACATGGGAGAGAACAGAGAAGGGAGGGGGTTAGAGCTTTAACAGGGGAAAAGAGCCGAATTAACAGAAAACCCTAATCCTAATAAGGAAGAAAAAAAATTCACTTGCATAATAACTCTAGTTTGCTCAAAAGTGAACCATTGTGGTCCATTTACAAACAGAACAAAATCCCCCATCCACTTTTCTCAACCTATCTTTGTGGCAAAAGCAGGTGGCGGGGGAGAATGCAAGAACAAGCACACAGCAGAGATGTCATCCATGGCAATCCCTCTCCTTCGCCGCCTCCAAGCCTTCATCGCCGCCTTCACCAGACACTTGGCCGCCTTCGACCGGTCCGCCACCGCCGACACGATCTGCACGGCTTCCTGGTTCGACACCACGTCCCACACTCCATCCGTCGCCATGATCAAGAACTGATCTTTACCAGAAATGCGTCTCTGCGTCACTTCGGGCACAGAGATTAGACCAAAATCTTTGATGCAGTGGTCTCCGAAAGCTCGAGACATTGCTAGCCCTGGCGATTCCTCGTCCGGCAGCCATACCCTTTGAACCCCTGGCTCGTCGTCGAGGCAGAACACTCTGCCTTTGCATTCCACTATTCTCTTTGCCTCTTCTGCAAAACCCCCCAAAATGGGAAAGAACGGTTTTTCAAAGATGTGTTTTTTATAGTCTGTACAAAATATGAAAGGAGGCGCTGAGAAGGCAAAAAACTAACGAGGTAGGCTGGGCTTGAAGTCTACGGTTAGCTGAACAGGCATCAAGTTTCCATCTTCTGATGTTGTGGCCAAAACAGCTCTTGAATCTCCAACATTTGCTACATAAAGCAACTCTCCCTGTAGCAAGAAGAACATAATCTCAGATAACATGAAACCGGATTGTGTCAGCTGAACTCGCTTATACGTATCACTTTGGACACTGAACTAGGAGTTGAGACAAATCAGCTATGCCTATCCAACTCATGCTAACATGATGTAGGACCAGTTTGGTGTTTTAATCGTCGCCATATCGCGATTTCAGCAATCAATGTGATATCTATACACGATTCGTTCTTGAGCAACTTGGTGCTGTATTGGAAATATGAAAAGAAAACTCATTTCACTTGCCTGTCTGACGATGGTCAAGGCAGTGGTGCCACTGTAAAAGGAATCAATCTTGCGATGCTGCTCCAGCTCCTGATCCACAGCAGCACATGCCTTTAAGTAACAATGCTTCCACATGTTGAATCTCTGGAGATTTTTATCCGATCCCAAGTCGATTTCGTCGAGAAGATAATCGTCTGAAGAGGACTCAGCAGCAGCCAAGGCTTCTTGCCAGTTGCAAAGCAGGTGTGATGGCAGTGATTCCCTCACTTTCTTGGACACAAAATGTCCCCATGGTCCATGACCGTCGAATACCCCGCAGAATGTCATATCCTCTTGGCAACCGAATTCCTAAAACAAGGAGTGTCACAGTTTATTTCAACAACAAAAGAATCAAATCAACACATTTTGAGAATTACATGAAAAGATTCAAAATTAGATCTTATACTGCACTCTAAGAAACATTTTTTTTTTTTACTAACCTCCCAAACAATGAAGCAATCCTGATTCACACCCTTCTCTCCCCTCTTCGAGAACAACGATGCCAAGTTCTTCGAACCAGCAACATTCATACAGCCAGACGATCTCAAAATCAACTCATTCTTCTTTGCTTCTTTCTCCATTGCCTTAGCTGCTTCTCTACCACCACCACCACCACCAACATTATCTCCATCCCCACAAAAGTTCTTGCTTTTCTTCATAGAGAGAGACCTTGCAAGCTTGAACATTGCAGAAAGATGCCCCATTTCGAGAGAACTTGAACTGCTGACGAAGAATGTGTATGGTGTCTCCTTTTATACACCTAATATAAAAGCACAAAACTTCATTTGCGTCAGAAGATTCCCAATGAGTCAGAAAGGTGAGGATCTAAGAGTTTTTATATATGAGTCTGAAAAATCTTGTGACATACCCACCAAGTCTAGTGCTAGTACTATAGATCATAGATCGAATATTCAAAGAATAGAAATTCCCCAATGGTGCAATCCAGAATGTTTTGGAAGCAACCGAATGAGGTAATGACAAGAGAGAAATTAATAAAAGAAGAAGGTTTATTAGGGTCTTTAACCTCTACACTAGGGATGAAGACCTCTTGCCATTTTCCTAGTTAGCAGTTTCCACTTTCTGGGGTTTGTTTGGTTGCTGAGAGAGAGAGAGAGAGAGAGAGAGAGAGAGAGAGAGGTATGGCAAGCTGAAACTGATTAATCAAAGAAACAAGCACAAGTGGGTCCTCAAGTTGAATTGCCATTTTCTTCTCTAATCTATATGCAAGTTGGTCCTAGGAAGAAAATGGAGGGAAGGAAGGAGGATGGAGGAAAAGGTTTTTAACTTTGTTTCTATTTTCCAGCAACCAAACAAAACCCAGAAGCGAGAAATGAAGCAAAAGGTATGTAGAGTTGTAGACCACAGAAAAAGCCTCCTGGTTTCATTTCCTTCCTGTTAAACCTTTCCCCCCCTCTCTTCTCAGCCACCAAACAAGAACCAGAAGGGTAGATGGAAAGGGAAGCAGAAAAAGGATGTAGATCACAGATATAAAGATGATGACATCTTTTTATTCTCCTCATCAATTCCCATTTTGCATAAACATTAAGAAAGAGAACAAGAAGCAAATGTAATCGTAATCACACCTTGAAGCATAAAACCCATACCCACACACAAAAGAAAACAGAGGAAGCAGCAGAAGGGAGCTCTGGGAACAGAATTGGCAACTGAGAATTCAAGGGAGACGAGAACAAGAAAGCACAGATCATCGAAAACCCATATCTAGAATTTACTGAGAGAGAGAGTTGCGCACGAGATAAACAGGAGAAGGTTCAGGGGTAAAACTAAGTAGCTACCTTAGCTAGATGGAAATGGATAAAGCTCTCTATCCTTTGTTCCTACATAGAGCGATACACCTTCCCTTTATCGTCCCCTCCAAAAGCAGTAAGAAACGCCAAAGATCGGAACTTTTTTTTTTATGTTTTAATAGACAAGTCGAATTAGACAATTTTAGGCTAGGTCTTAAGTTAACGAGCAATTAGTGACGAAAATCATAATAGCCTGTAGCTTACAAGTCAAGATGTAAGTCTTATCACTTTGTAAGCGGTACAATTAAATCTGAGTTAGCTGCTTCAAACTTTCTCACTATGCTTGTACATCATTCTAATGAGTGAGTGAGATATTGACCTTAGTATATATACAAATGCTTACATGACTTTAATAGTTCATATAAAATGTTTTTATTTGCAGGCTAATCATGTTCAAAGTGCTTAGCAACTGAATTATTATTAAATGATGATAATGTTTTTGAAAGGAGGAAATGATGTTGTTATCATATAAGGTTTGACAAGGAAAAGTAGAAGAGGTCATAATCTTGGAATGGGAAAAAGAATGGTGGTTGGAGAATACTTCAAAATATACATATCATACCATCTGTTTAAAACTTGACAAAGGATCCAATGCATGTTTGAGATTAATTGTAGCAACATATTTTGGCCCCCTAATAAAAAAAAAAAAAAAAAGGAATGTAGGAACTAGCAAGGAACATATATGTTTCCCATCTAGTTATTATATGTAATAAATAAATGAATTTGGGAGGAAAAGAGGCCAAAATGGGAAATAAGAGAAAACAAAAATAATGCAAGATATTTTTGGATATAATTTGATCTTCTGGCATGCATATATATCTTGATGTATTTCTCCAATGATCTTGCCACCTTGAGCATGCGCAACTGTTCATGGCTAAAACAATTTTGAATTAAATGATGCTTGATTCAAAACAAAACACAACTCATTTGCTCTTGTCTTGTCTTTTGAAATATATTTTTTGGTTCCCCTTCTCCTGTAAACATACCATCTAAAGCAAAGCAATGCCATCTTTACCAATAATTAGCAAAGTATTTTTTTTTCATCTCATGTACGAATCTATAAGAATTAAAATATAATATCATCTCATCAGTCATCAACACCAAGGGTGAGGAAATTACGTGGTAGCATTAGTATAGTCAGACAACTTAATTATTATTTTCATCTCCATCAATGATAAACTAGCGTGTTTTGTTAGGACCAATAGATATAATAATAAACCAAAAACATTTAGAAACATATTGTCGACACGATGGAAAGGAGATATTTTGGATTACTTAATAATTAATATCTTTTGGGTACAGTAACCTAAAGAACAGAATATTTAGAGGTCAATAATTTTGTATTATGAAGCTATGATTATCAGCCGGACACATGGCAATAGAATAGCCATAGACTCCTTGTTTGGACCAAGACTGACCTACGCATTTGAAATACTAAATAAAAATAAGCACTGATTAGGTATATGGTAAATTAATTGGTAATGGTATTGGTCTTCTCTCGAAGTTTTTGCAGCACTATAGGGTGTAGTTAGGAAGTTGGCGATTAATAAGAATGACATATAATTAGAAAAAATAAGAATGATTAAGAGGTTGGTGGTAAAAATTGACAGTTTAAAGTAGAATAATTAAGAAGCCAGCTTGGTCAGTGTGACGGTGGATGATAGGTGATTTTTGTTTTGTCATATTTTTCATTTTCATTTTATTTTTGTTATTAGCGATGCTTAGTTTTTTCTTTCTTTTTTCCAGAAGCTAACTTGTATTACCAAGAAAGAAGAAGATAACAATGTTCAAACAACACGAGTTTATGAGTTTATAAACTCGAGAGAAACCAACCACGAAAATCAAAACCCGAAACTCCCGCAGGAAACAAGGAGAGGGTTTTCTTAGCCACCAAATGGACCGCCCAATTGTTTTGCCTACCAACGAATTCCACCTCAAACCGAGCATACTGCTGACATAGCAAATGAATTTCTTCAAGGATGCTACCACCTTTGACATCCTGAACTTCTCTCCCACGTACCTTATCGAGAACAACCTTAGCATCTCCGCGAAATACTACCTCGGTAAGACCCTTCAAAGAGCACCACCGAATCACATCTCGCAACACCAAGAGTTCTGCACTGTAAGGATCGTCCACACCTGCATAGAGAAATCCCTGCACAAAAACAATACTTAGCTAGTTCATTAAGTTTCCTGAAAATGATATGAAATTTTAATAAGAGTTAGGGAAAGGAAGGGACACGAGTGCAAGAAAATTACATTATCGAAAAATATAAGATGGGAAGGAAATGGATCTTTCCCGATAATGAGAATTTAATGTATTAATACAATATATAAAAAAATAAATTTATAAAAACTAACTCAAAGCAAGTCTATGAAAGAGGTAAACTTGATCTATGTGTTGAATGTGATTACAAGAATTTGTATGTTTCATGTTAACGTACAATCGATCGATATAAGAATACCATTAAGTCACTTTTTGGGCAGAAGGATTTTATTGAAAGGATTGTAGACAAGAAATGTGCCAGCCCTGTTTTCCTTTTTACAATATTACTATTGATTATTATTCTATTTGATTTCGTTAAATGAAGATATTTTATAACTTAATTCGCAAGGGACACGTCACCACATTTTTTAGAGAATGAATTACCTACATAAATAAACCTTTATGAAGAAGAAAAAAATGCATAAGGCCAAATGATGGTTGTAGGAAATGAGAAGACAATGTATGTTAGTTTTGGGATTGTTTAGTCTTATGCATAACATGCTAGAATATGGCGTTGCATGTCGATGGAGACACATATTTTGACACAGAAAATTAATTAAAAGAAGGATAGATTTTGGGATTGAGGCTAACATGAATATTTTCGCCTGACATGAATGTTACACATATTCAGTAATCTTTTTTATCTATAACTTTGCTTCCTTATCTATATATCAAATTTTATAAAATTGGCACATCCGAGTGTTGACCGTTATGTTTGATGGTCAATACTATTGACTGACGGTCAATCCACCAAGTCACCGCCTAGTCAACATAAAAATAGGGTAAATTGCAAGTTTGGTCACTGAAATTACTAAAAAGTGTCACGTTTGCCACTAAAATTAGTTTATTTCATTCATGGTCACTAAAATTAGTTCAACAGTTCAAGTTTGGTCACTCTCCATTAGTATCCGTTAACTTTCACTGATGTGGCAGTCAACTCTGACAAGTGATCGTCAAATGTGTGACGTGACAATAAAAAATGAAAAAAATGAAAAAAAAATATAATTTTCACCTCATTATCACTAACATTAAAAATTAAAAATATATATTTTAATTTGCTAAATCTGACGAACTAATCTCGTCCCCTTAAAACACTCCGCCTCCTCCACCTCCGCTGTCCACGATGTTGCCGCCACCTCCTCCTTTAAACCAATGTTGTCAGAACCGAACTGGGGCATGACCCGTTAATGCGAACGACTCGCACTTTAGTGGTTCAACCGACATTAGACTGTTTAAAAATCGTTAGAGAATCGGTACCTAATAAACGTTATCAGTATAAATAGTGGACATTTCTTAATCAGAGCTCATCTCTTTCCTTCGAAATTGTGAAATGGAAATAATGATTCAGTTTGAGAGTCCGACGTTTTTGGTTTATTTCAATTTTCAATTTTCTGCAATTTTTATAATTAAATTTAAAAACGGATGAATAGAAAAAAACTGGACGAGCGGCTCGAGCGGTTAACCGCCTCAGCCGCTCGCCAACCACTACATAAAACCGGAGCGACTTTTAGACTTTTTCGAGCCAGTTTTCTGACCTAATGGGGATTTCACCGTTCGACCCGAGCAGCTCGTCTCGACCCTAATAACACTGCTTTAAGCACTCTTTCCATTTCCCCCAATTCCTTCATCTCCACAAGTACTCCGCCCTCTCCCTCGTCGCCCTCCACGACCAACAATTCTCCGTCCTAGATCTCTTCACCGAGACCTCCTTCCCCTGCCGCCGCAAGCTCGAACTCGACACCGTCATCTCCAATTCCTTCATCCCCCACAGTCCTCTCCCTCCGCCGCAAGCACTCGGACCTCTGCTCCCTCTGCTTCTCCGCCCACCTCACGTTCTCCAAGCTCAACTCCCTGATCTGCCTCGCCGTCCGCCACCGCGTCCTGTACCTCGATGTCGAGGTCTCCACCGACGATTACTTCAACTTCCCTTCTCACCATGGCTGCATCGACGGAGGTTCAGGCCAACAGGGAGAAGATGAGACTTCTACAATTTCTGATGTGGCTCACCCAAGTACTCAACTCCTTGATTCAAGAAGAAACACGACTGCCAACACAAGCAGTCTTGGATATAATTGTTGTTTTTGCCACAACTGGAAATAATCAGCTTCTGAAAATATGAATTTAGTGGTTAGAGCTCCTTGATTTAAGAAGGTCACGCCATAATTCCTTTCAGTTGGAAGTTCTTGTCGCCGCCGCCATTCCTCCCCCTTCGTCATTGTCCAAGATTGGGGATTTCTAAAGGCTAGAACTCTGGGTCGAGCGATGGTGAGAACTCTGGGTCGAGCGAGGTTAGTTAGTGAGATGTAGGAAATTAAAATAAATAATTTTTTATTTTTTTATTTTTAATGTTAGTGATAATGAGAGGGAAATTATAATTTTTTTTTAATTTTTATTTCTAAATTGCCATGTCACACATTTAACGGTTAATTGTCAAAGTTGACTGACATATCAGCGAAAGTTACCGGAGAGTGACCAAACTTGAACGGTTGAACTAATTTTAGTGACCATGAATGAAATAAACTAATTCTAGTGGCAAAGGTGACACTTTTTAGTAATTTCAGTAACCAAACTTGCATTACCCCATAAAAATACTTAAAAATTACTAAACAGAACAGTATTGACCGTCAGTTGACAGTATTTTGACCATCAAACATAACGGTCAATATTTGGGATAAGCCAATTTTGTAAATTTGATGCATAATTGAGACCACGAGATTATAGATCGAAAAGATTGAGCAGGATGTTTGAATATGTTAAGTTCGGGCCAGACGAAAATATTAACAAAAAATGAAAGTAGAAAAAATTATAGGAAGATTTGGGATATAATAAAAAAATGGTCGACAACCATTTTAAGAATAAGGGACGGATTTAGCAAGTGAGTGAATGAGCGATTAAACTCTCTCGTTTAGTGAGAGTCTAAGGCGGCGGAAACCCTAGGATTTTTCGGTACTTTTATCGGAGTTGCTTACCTCGTTGAAGAAGAATATGTTTCGATCTAATCTTTTGCAAAGTAAGTGTGTTGGAATGCTTTA